TTGCAGAAAGTTCGCGAATCGGTGGCCTGAACGAATGAGGGAGGGGTTAGGGATATCGTGTTCGTCGCGGAACTTCGACGCCGCGACTGAAAAACGAAGGGGGGGTGGGGTGGAAGCCGGTCAACAACCGCGGAAGTTAATAACATTAACTAAATAAACGCGGCGTCCGGCAAACAATGGCCCGTTGCCGGGGCCAAGAATAGCGAAGCAAACGGCGGCTTAGTTTACCAGAAGTTCGGCCACAATGGCCGCGGACGCTTTATGTGTTTAAGGGCCTGTGTTGCGCGGGCTCTGTGCAGCGGCATGTGCACACGAAGCTTCGGCTACCGGTTGTGGCAGGGACTTCTCTGTGTGCCAGCCGGGCCGGTTCGGGCTCGGCATATAGGTCAACGTGGCCGAGATTGCATCTTCGGAGGCGAACGAAAGCGACGGGCAAGCAGCCGGCGTCGCCGATCGTATCGACGTTATCGGGACGCCGCGCCGGAACAGATGAACGCTGTTCCTTTTTCCCTGCGGCTCCGATCCGGCCCCGATAAAACCCCGAGGAGACGGGATTCGACGGGATTCGGTGCAATTAACGTGCTCTCGTGGAACCGGCCGGGGCGAGCGTGGGAAGCGCGGAGAGTGTGTCCGGCCGCCGGCTTTCCGCGGCTAAATAAATCATTTCGTTGATCACGCTAATGAGAGAGGACCTTCTCTCCGGCCCTCAGCTTTCCTTAAAGGGCCCTGCGCCGCTGTTTCGCCGCTTTAGCCGGAGCTTCTCGCCGGTGAATGGGAAACTCGTTTATTAAACCTTTGCGCCGCAGCCTTTGGAAAGCTCTCTCTCTCTCGCGCGCTGCTGAATTTGTTTTATTCGGAACTTCGTGACCTCGGATTATTCCGAAGGCGCTCTCTCGCGGGGGGGATGAGTGAATGGGATCCTTTCGAAGTTCGGATTTTAGGCGGATTTTATGGGGATTGAATAGCGATCTTGGAAACCGCCGAGAGGAATATTTGCCGGAAATTGAGGGACGCGTGAAAATTCGTTTGGCAAACATCGATTCGGATTAGTGCAAAAATGTCGTATATCTTTAGCCGCAGTCTCGATGAATTTTATACGATTCATATTAGAACAATGAATGTTTCCGTTTGCAGGTTCTAGAAGTGTCTTTCGAGAACAATGAATAGCGCTTCTCTCGATTTTTCAGAGAACCAGGAAAAGATATTCTTTTGGTATGATTCTAACACTTCGCTATTGCGTAAGTTTGTATAGTAATTTCTCTCGGAAAAGCTTCGCGGCTCGTTTTTATAGAAACCAGTAATAAGAACAAACAATAATGCTGGAATAAAACCGATGACTTGACTATTTCATTTCTAATTTTTTCGCCACGATTCGGAGACAATTCGGAGGATCGCATGCCACGATTCGAAGGCAATTCGGGGGCCACGCGCCACGATTCCACGGTCACGCTGCCTTTCCCCCTTGAAATACACCCTGACGATAAATTACATAGACGTAGGACCAGGAAATTCTCAGCGACCCACAATTTGCCGTCTAGTTTCAGCTGGAAAAAAAGAATTCGATAGAATTCCAAGGACTTCAATCGTAAACAAGTATTAATAAAATACTAAACAAGCATCGATCCGATACTTCCGAAATACCGAATGCGAAGATCCTACTTTCGATAGCAAGCGTAGATAAAATCCGTGACAGCCGAAAGTACGAGACATCGAGTGCGCCCAAAGTGAAACGCGCGCGCGCGACACCGTGTTCGCGTCGGTAACCCAATGATCCCGGGCAACGAAGCAAATTGCTCATTAGATACCGAGTTAAAACGTGACACGTAGGCAAAGCGGAAGGTTGCAGCCTGCTTTCCTGATTAGCCGAAAGTTAGGTTCGCGCGACATCCCGGGGAAAGTTCCTGGCGGGGGATCGGCCGCGGCGTTCGGAGGAACCGTAGTCGCGCGCCGAAGACACTGCGATAATCCTGTGATAATAATCCGCCGGCTCGCTCCGGGAGACGACAATTAACGCTTAATCTCTGCGAAATGATTTCGGGACACGAGAAATTTACCAGGAGCCACTTAGCGAGCCTCGCGACTAAACTGCCGATACAGGGGCGCGCGGCGTCTTGAAGCGGGGCGCCGCGGCGGGGTGCTTAAGGACGGCTCGCGTTGAATATACAAATAATCCTTTGTTCGGCGCGCGGAAGCCGCGGCGCGGATTTCGCGCGACGCCGCGAACCAGACGGAAAGTTCCCCGAGCACAGTCAATATCGTCATGCAATGCCGCAAGCTTTCGGAGCGGCGGGCACAATGCGCCGGGCCCACAATAGGATTTCTGTCCTCTTAAGCGCCGCGCGCGGCAGGCTTATTAATATTGCACGCCTCGCCGTTGCCGCAGCGGCTTTTTATCCGCTGCATTGTTTATCGCGGCCGGCTCATTTGCCCGTTGCAAATCCGCCCCGTCCCTGCAGGCTCGGCCTGCGTCCGTCCACTCGTCCGGAAGTTGTGCAGTCTTGTTCCGGAAATCGCGTTCTTAGCCGCGAGAATCTCCGAGGATTCTCCGTCGTTCGACAGCGATGCTGGAGGAATTTTCTGAACCGGAAGCAGTCGGCGAATCGATTTCACACTTTGGAGATGAATTTGTCGATGTTTGGAGAGTACGACGGTATTTTTTTCGCGCAGGAATTATGTTCGTGTGCGAGCTTATAGCGATTCGATCGGAGCACTGTCGGAAAGCTCGCGTGCCCTATTTTCGATGTAAAAAATACGAAAAAAAATCGAAAGTAAGGAAGATATTGGTTCCAAACTTGGTAGACAAGATCGTCGGTGTTCGAAGAATGTATCCTCTTGCTAACGAACTCTGAACTGCATCGAGAATTATAGGGAAACGCCTCGGACATCGCGTGTCTTCTTTATTCGTCGTGAAAAAGTTCCAACGAAATGCAACTAAAAATCGAATCGTCCGCCATGTCAGCAATGTCTTCCAATAATCTCAACACGAAACGAACTACTGGATTTTTTTGGAAGTAATTTCGTTCTTTAGACAATTTTTGTCTCGCGGGGGCGTTTTAAAGAGCACGCGTTTCGCCGATAAAAAACAGGACTCTTACGAGCACATAATTCCGAAGCTACCAAAAAGAGAAAATAAGTAAAAAGAACGTCAGAAAATCGTCCGTCATTATCCCGCGAAGGAACGAAATTGCTTCTAGAATGGCCCGATGGTAAAACATTCTTAGAACTGCTTAAATTATTCAGGGCCGTACGAGCGTTTTTTAGTGTCGAATAAACCGGAGAATGGCCCGAAAAGATGGCGGGTCAACGCGATAAAGAGTAGCAGAGGGCAAGGCGGGCTTATTAATCTTGCAGGGTTCGCGTTGAAGTAAACTTTTATCCGCGGCCCTGTTTGCCGGCCCGCTTCGGCCCGTATTAGCGCTCGCAGCATCGCGAAAGCCCGGCTTGCAACGCGATTGCAGCCGCGTTATAGCAACTTATAGCAACTTCGCGAGACTTACAATACTTTCGCGGGTTCCTTCGGCCGGACCCCTATCCCCCGTTTTCGCCGGAATTCACCCCCTCCCCTCGGGGAGGAGCCTCGTCGAACAAACAAAGGGTCGCCGCCATTATTTCATTAGCGGGCCGAAAAATTCGCTGGAAAAGTTTCGGTCGACGCCCCTCGACGCTCGCTCGGAAAGTTCGCGGCCCGTGCGACGAATCGACGATTGTTCCCCGGGACTTCCGGTTTCGGGAAGTTTGCCTGGCGCGGCCGCTCCGACTTCCGGTCCGCGATCTCGCGCCGCGATATCTTCGTTTCCGGGATCTTCGAAGACGAGAAGTTGGCCGCTTTTGAATCGGCAGAGTGTAAATTCGATTGCCGAACCGCTCGATGGAAATTAGGACTTCCGGGCCGCGGATTCCATTTTGGTAAAAATGGGTCCGCCATGATTTAGAAGATGACGAAATTCCTCCCCCGTACCTCCCCCGGAATTAGGGTTAAATCGTCTCGTTCTGTAGTTTATAAAATTGCGAACATATTCGTGTTTGTATTAACCCTTTGCACTCGAGTGGTATCCCCGAGGGAACACTGAAATTATTATATCACTTTCCAAGATCATTTTTATATTAACGAAGTTTTGTGTGTGTGATTTAAAAAAAAAATTGTTGAAAGTCTAACTGTTGCACGAGTCGCCGCAAGACTCAATTTTATATGCATGAAATGCACTTTGTCGTATAAAATGGGAATGCTAAAAGTGAGAAAAATTATTTTTGATTCATGGTTAAAATGGCTTCGAGCGCAAAGGGTTAATATTTTTGTAACAACGTAGCGCGGGATTTAAAATATTCTGAACGTCCTGAAATTTGAGAATATGTCTTCGTCTTCGCTAAAATTACAATTTAAACAGCCGATGGTCGCTACTTTTATGACAAAATGAATTATTAATTATTAACGAAAATGATACATGAAATTATGAAATAAAATTACTATACAAAACGATGCGCCAATCACGATATTCCTCGAAGCAATATCATTTGTTGGCGAAGCAAAGACGAACGTTGCACATAGTAAATATTATACATCACGGGTCCTATTTTCATGCGGCGTTTAGCCCAATTTCCGCATCTTTGGAGATGAATTTGTCGATGTTCGGAGAGCACGAAGGTATCTTTTTCCGGTCGAAAAAAGAACTTACTCTGATTCGATCGAAGCACTGCCGATAATCTTGCGCACCCCATTTTCAATATTAAAAAAGCCAGAATAAAATACGTGAAATCGAAAGTAACAAACAAAGTAACAATTCCAAGCTTGCTGGCTGAGCGTCGTCGACGTTCGACAGACATTTCTCCCGCTTTTTGCACATTGTACCCTGACAAATTGCATTTTTACCAAAAATAAGCAATAATCGAACACGACGGTCTCCAATTTTCTAAAATGAGGAAAAATGTGTTTCGCTTAGTCGCGAAGGGGTTGAGATTGGGGGCCCAGTACTCACATGGTTGCCGTGTCACGGGTGTTCCAGGCAAAATTTCGCGTGATGGTGGAGGAGAACGCAGCGACTGGCGCCCGGCTCGACGGGGAGCTGGAGAGGGCGAGGGGCGAGTGCGCGACCCTCCGGGGCGAGCTGAGGGATGTCCGAGGCGCGTTGCCGGTGGTGTTGAACAATAACAACGGGGCCGGGACGAACACCGCCGCTGCCACCGCTACTGGGAACAGCAACAACAATGGGGCGGGCAGCGCCGCGAACAACACCACCCCCGGAACGCAGGAGACAACGGAAGTTGTCCAGCAACAGCAGCAGCAACAACAACAACAGGAGGATGCCAAGAGGCTCAGCGCTGGCAGCAGCCCCGTCGACAAGAGGAGCTCGGCTAGCGACAAGTCGGCTAGTCCCATCGAGAAGAGAACCAGCCCTGTCGACAGGAAGGAGCGGACCAGCCCTATCGATCGACGATCCAGCCCCGTAGGTCAGTATTGTCGCCATAACTTCGCAATCCTTCTTGCATAGCTGATAATCTCGGTTAATCGATTTTTCGAAGATAATCGCTATAATATAATTCTATTCTATCTATCTAGATTCTAAATTCTAAATTCTAAATTCTAAATTCTAAATTCTAAATTCTAAATTCTAAATTCTAAATTCTAAATTCTAAATTCTAAATTCTAAATTCTAAATTCTAAATTCTAAATTCTAAATTCTAAATTCTAAATTCTAAATTCTAAATTCTAAATTCTAAATTCTAAATTCTAAATTCTAAATTCTAAATTCTAAATTCTAAATTCTAAATTCTAAATTCTAAATTCTAAATTCTAAATTCTAAATTCTAAATTCTAAATTCTAAATTCTAAATTCTAAATTCTAAATTCTAAATTCTAAATTCTAAATTCTAAATTCTAAATTCTAAATTCTAAATTCTAAATTCTAAATTCTAAATTCTAAATTCTAAATTCTAAATTCTAAATTCTAAATTCTAAATTCTAAATTCTAAATTCTAAATTCTAAATTCTAAATTCTAAATTCTAAATTCTAAATTCTAAATTCTAAATTCTAAATTCTAAATTCTAAATTCTAAATTCTAAATTCTAAATTCTAAATTCTAAATTCTAAATTCTAAATTCTAAATTCTAAATTCTAACTTCTAAATTCTAAATTTTCTATTCTATTCTATCTAAATATGATTTTAGATAATGGAATGTGTTTCGAAATTTTGTGTGCAGTTAGGTACGATTTTTGGTGGTCAACTTTTGTTTTTTGCTTTTTTTTCAATTTATTTATTCAACGTTGCATCCGCTTGACAGCGATTTGCGACCGCTTGTGGGATTATGATTGTAGGGTTACGCGTGGATGTCGAGTATATACAATAGTTGCTGCATTGGATTATCTGCGTTGAACAGTACGGCTTCAACATTATCGTCTTAAACCAGGTTCCTTGAACCTTTGCTTGACCCTTTGCGCTCCGATGCAGCCGATACGGCGACGCTAAGTCATTGTTTTTAAGGCGATCGGGTGAAACACGTAGATGAAGGCAGAAAATCTTTTTTTTATATATATGTATATTAATTCCTATAAATTTTCACAGGGGTGCGACACGATATTTATTTCAGTTTAATTTTGCATAGCAGGATCGCAGTTTTAGCAACATTTGTTCCGAGTTGCTGCTAGATAGTTTTGTTAAAAAAATCATCGGAGTCTTAAGGGTTGTGTCAGTATACATATAATTTCGCCAAGCAATTTGATTTCTCCTAAATAATCACATAATTTGTACTAATTTATTCGCAATTTTATCGCAGTTTTAGCAACATTTGTTCCGATTTGCTGGTAGATATTTTTGTTAAAAATAGCATCGGAGTCTTAAGGGTTGTGTCAGTATATAATTTCGCCAAGATTCTTCTAAATAACCACAAAATTTTTACTGTACATTTATTCGCAATTTTATCGCAATTTTAGCAACATTTGTTCCGAGTTGCTGGTAAATATTTTCATTAAAAAAATCATCGGAATCCTAAGGGTTGTGTCAATGTATAATTTCGCCAATTTGGTTTCCCCTAAATAACCGCATAATTTTCACTGTACATTTATCGTTTCCCAAACACATTCTTTGTTATATTCAGCATTTTTCCCTTTTACCTGATATTTTTATACAATGAACACTCTATTAAATTACTGTTTAACCGTAAGCTGTTCAACGTTACACTCGACTTTCCATTGCTCGTAGCTGTTTTTAGAGGCCGACAATCTCCAGAACGTTCGCAATTGCAAAAGTAAACGTCTCCGTTAATTGTCTGTTAAAATTCCCTCGTCTCTAACTATTTGTCCAAGCGAACGATGAGATAGTAACGCATCGGAGCATTATTATAGTTCGTTCGATACACCTACGGAAATAATTGACACCCCATAAAAGAGAGTGGTTCGTCCGTTAATTAGCGCCGAGCATGGTGCCCGCTAATTAGCCAGCTGACCGTTCGACGGCCTCGAGAGAACGAGTTCCGCGTTGTTTCCGACGTTGTTCGACGCGACGCCGAGAAAAGAGAGCCACCAGCCTGAAAAGCGGTCGCGGACGACACCGTTTCCAGCTCGCGCCGCCCTTCCCCCATAAATGTTCGTTCCTTTAACTCACGTTCAGGGCGCGCGCGTAAATCTTCCCCGTAAAAGTTTCCCCGGGCATAATTCAAAACTGCAGCACCGCAGTTCGCGTAGCCTCACGCCGGTTGAAAGTTTATCTTGATTTCCGGAACACGGTGTACATAGCTCACTATCTCGCAGTTACTTGCTGCCAGTTTTACGACCGGCCATGATTCACCATTTTCTCCGACGCGATGGGAACAACACAACCCGTTGCAACCCCGCGCGCCAGCTGTCACGGCCCTTTGTGGAGATTCTTCCGCGAGCAGCGGGAGATTTCATTAACGTTTTTAAACCGTCCCGCGGACCCGGACGAGACAGGAGACCACCACCCCCCTTTGTCGTGCCCGCGATTATGGCAACGCGGTGGTCCGATGAAAGATTCCCGGGCATTCCGGGCCAATTAAAACCTGGGCCGAACTTTTGCCGCTTATTAGACTAATATTATATAGATTAGTATATTATGTTAGAATAATAATTATTATATTAGAATGATATAATGCATTATATTAGAATAATAATAATTATATTAGGATAGTGTAATGCATCATATTAGAATAGTAATAATTATATTAGGATAATATAATGCATTATATTAGAATAATAATAATTATAGTAGGAGAATATAATGCATTATATTAGAATAATAATAATTATATTAGGATAATATAATGCATTATATTAGAATAATAATAATTATAGTAGGAGAATATAATGCATTATATTAGAATAATAATAATTATATTAGGATAATATAATGCATTATATTAGAATAACATAATGCACTATATTAGAATAGTAATAATAATATCAGAATAATAATAATTATAGTAGAATAATATAATGCATTATATTAGAGTAACATAATGCACTATATTAGAATAGTAATAATAATATCATAATAATAATAATTATATTACAATAATATAATGCATTATATCAAAATAATAATAATTATATTACAATAATATAATGCATTATATCAGAATAATAATAATTATATTACAATAATATAATGCATTATATCAGAATAATAATAATTATATTAGAAAAATATAATGCATTATATTAAAATCATAATAATTATTATTATTCTAATATAATGCAACTGAATCGCGAGGACGCATAGATCCTTTCCTGTCATCCTGTCGTCGTACGCGAACGAAGGATCTCCTCGGGCGCTTCGCTCGGATGGATCGTGAAACTTTTATTATCGATCTAATCGGGTGCTTCGCGTACGTTAACGCGGCCTCTGCTTTAACGATTCAATCCGCCCGGCCGCGTTTTACTTAGCGCTCTTCGGCCGTGCTTCGCGCTTCAGCTTCGGAATTAACACGTTCGCCGCCGCCGCAGCCGCGCGTCACGATTACCCGTGATACTCGACGCGAGAACGGTCGAATTAATTTTATGCATGTCCGTCGCCGCGCAATGTCAACGTTCGTGGATTAACACGGCGTCCATAAATTCGCCGGGTTCGTTCTTGCGAATGGTTCTATTGCTTCACGGTGTTAAACGCGATTTATTTTTAACGAGGTCGGCGAGAGTCTTCGCGTCGAGCTTATCGAACGTTCGAGTATAGAAAGATCGAAGGAATCTGGAAACGGCGATGTTTAAATCGTTAGGATCGTTAGAGAAGGAACTTGTAAATGGCTATACTGTATTGTGGCTATTCTAACAATTTTATTATTCTGCATCGAGATCTGCAGCATTCCGCTAACACGTTAATTATTATAGATTATTAGAGATTAATTGTAGTATCTTGGTATAGTTGTTGGAATTAATTTATAACGATTTAGCTGTGTAATGGCTGTTCTGACAATTTTATTCTGCATCGGGATCTCGATCCGGTGACTCGTTAGTTATTGTAAGGTATTATAAATTAGTTGTAGTATTTTGATAGTAATAGATAGATAATAATCTGTGCCATAAATACAGGGTGTCCCGAAAATGTCTCGCAAACCGGAAATGGCGGGTTCCTCGGATCATTTGAAGCAGCTTCTTCCTTTACAAAAATGTTCTCCGAGGCACCGTTAACGAGTTATTAACGAAAAACAGTGACCAATAAGAATCGAGTACGGCCGACGCGAGGCGGCCCAGCCAACCAGCGCACGAAGCCCGGTTCCGCTCATTGGCTCGGTCGCCTCGCGCCAGCCAAGCTCGCCTCTCGTTGGTCGCTGTTTCTCGTTAATAACTCGTTAACGGTGCCTCGGAGAAAATTCTTGTAAAGGAAAAAGTTGCTTCGAATGACCCGAGGAATCCGCCACTTTCGGATTGCGAGACATTTTTTGGGACACCCTGTATTTATTGCACCTTCGTTCGTAGAGCGAAGGATTAATCGAACAACCTTTTACCCAACCTCGACATAACTTCTGAAAGAGTATAACGAAAGAAACGTTGCACCAACTGCAATTATGCGATCCACTCGCATCCGTTGAACCAGTCGATCGAAAGGCCCATATTTCCGCCGACTCTGTCTCAACGATCTCGGCTGTCCCTAGTCTCCTGAAACCCGCTGTTTGAACCGCAGAAAAGCTAAATGGGTCGCCTAGTCGCAGTCCGATCGACAAAACGCGTCGGCCGTACGCGCCGGCCCTGGAGAAGACCCGGCTCGGCGGATCCGGTGGCAGCGTCGACTCGCGTTCCGGTAGCGCTAGTCCCGATCGAGGATCCGGGAACAGATCCGGCTTCCTTCATCGCGGTGGCAGCGATCGATCCAGCGGCGATCGGCTGCGGATATCGACGAACCGGGACTCGCTGCGCTCCAGCAAGGAGATGAACGACCACGAGAAGGACATCGAGAAGGACCTGGTGGACGGCGAGGTGCGGCCCGACGAGGACAATGAACCACCTGGACCAGCCCCGGGCAGCAGACCCTCGTCCCCGGCTAATTCCCTGGGTGGGTAACCCCGGCATTTAATTATGGAACGCTCTCCCTTTCAGGCTCGCCCTCGGTGGGGCTCGGTGTCCGCGATTGTTCCGTACCGGCGGACTCGCGTTCGTTCCTACGAATCCCGGGAATTAAACGGGGCTCCGGCGCAAGATGAATGCGGCCGCGTGCTTTCTTCAATGCGCAGCCGAGGCCTGGTGGCTAACGAGAGGCGCCTTTCCGAGACGTTCTACGCCCGGCTACCACCGGTTCGGTGCATTATTGAGGATGACACGTCGCCTGTCCTCCGTACCCCGCTCCGCTCCGCCCCGCTCCGCTCCGCCCCGCTCTCCGCTCTTCTGTACCCCCGTCGTCCGACTGTCGCCTTTGCTCGATATGCCCTCCTTCTTGTCTCTCTGGATGCTGATGCGGCTCCGGGATCGATGTAGTCGCGCCTGTCTTCCTTCGCTCGGGCCGGTTGCACCCGCCGGTTATGCGCCGCGTACCTTCAGCTACCGTTCACCCCGTGGATCCTGGTTAACGAGGGTAGACGGTTCGGGAGCACCGCGAACACAAAGGAATTTCCTGCGGTGCACTTTGGTCCAAGTACGAATTTCTCGGAGCGGCGATGCGTCGAAATCGATCCCGCGCGATGTTCCCAGCTTCTGCGATCTCTTTTCGATGTTCGAGTCTCGGAGAGTTGAACTCTTTGCACTTAGACGCGTGCGAATGGACCTTCGCTGAATTTTTTTGGAGGATCCGGATGTGTCGGCTTCGTTAATTGCTTGCGCGAGATTCGATTGTTCTGTCGAAGTTTTGTTGTCGAAAGCGAATAAGGATACGAGAGACGGAAAAATTGTTTCGTTCTGTCGGAGTGGTTGCTAACGCGCCAGGAATCGTCTCGCAATATCCCAGAATATCGAGATCTCTTGTTCGAAGACCATTCGCGAGAAGCTGATATAATTTAGCGATCAATAAAGCGAACAAGGACACGGGAGACAGAAAAATCGTTTCGTTCTGTCGGCGAGGTTGCTAACGCGCTAGGAATCGCATACAATAATGCCTCCCTAACTGACGCTCAGATTGTGCACAAAAATGGATAATCTAAGCGTCAATTAGAGAGACATTACTGTATCCCAGAATATCGAGATCACTCGTTCGAAGAAGACCATTCGCGAGAATTTGACACAATTTAGCGCAATTATTTGACACGTTAATCGTGGCGTCAGTTCTCTTGGACCCGATATTGGTCTCTTTCAGGCGATCGGTCAGTCCAAGAGGACTGACAGTATACTTTTCGCTTGGATAGTGTCCAAACTTGCTTGGATAGTGATCCCAGAGCTTGAAGCTATTTTCTTGAACAGCATCAACGCTTACCTTGCCATAATCTATCCTTCGGACGGCATCGGCGCATCGAGGTCAAAAAATAATGCTCGCCGCTTCAAAGGAAAGCCCAGCAAAATCGGCTCCACTTAATGCATTAACATTCGAGAACAGATTAAACGAAGCTTTATCCTATTTTCTCTGACCCGAGACATTGCCTTCTAGGAATAGGGGATCCACTGGTGGCGTCCAGGCTGTCCAACATCTACGGAAGCGGCAGCAACGGCTCCGTGGAGCTGGCCAGCACGAGGAGGCTTCGGTTGGAGAACGAGCGTCTCGTTGCTGAAGTCGCTAGACTGAGGAAGCTGTTGTTCAGCGGAGCAGCCCGTGGCGAGGTCGGCTCGGAGGACGCTGTGCTTGAAGAGGAGGCCAGATTCGTCGCCCTCGAGATGGAGCTGCAGCACGCGAAAGAAGCTCTGCAAGCTCTGAAGGCCGACCGGAAGAGGCTCAAGGCGGAGAAGTTCGATCTGCTTAATCAAATGAAGGCGCTCTACGGCACCCTCGAGGACAAGGAACGGGAACTCCGGGACTTCATCAGGAACTACGAGCAGGTGAGTCGGTGCTACTTTCGTTCTGCATGGGACTGCGGTGTTATTTGAGGCGACCGGGGATTTTTTTTTATCGCGGATGAGCTTCTAGGTTTTGAGTTTTTTGGGGGAGAGAAGGAAGATTTTTACGTTCCTCGCGGTTAAAGAGCGACTGGCATCGGTTCGAATTCTGGGGTTCTCTGAGCGATCGTTTGGATAAATGAAGAATGTATGAAAAAACGGTATCGAATTCGACTTCGTTGAAAAATGTTATCCGCGTTAAAATACAGCTTTTCTTTTGGAATCTTTGAGAACGTCGACAGAGAAAGAGTTATTTAACAAACTGAGAATCGACGAGAGATTTGCCAATTGCAGAATTTTCTTCGAAGTTAAAGGGTTCTTCTAAATAAAAATAAAATAATAATTTATCGTGCAAAGAATATTAACAGTAAATTACAGGGTAATTATGTTAAACTACAGTTACACTTGTTCCATTAAATTGCAGTAAATTCTCCCCCAATTTTTCTTCAGTTTGCAAACAAAACTGGACGATTTGGGAAGTGGAGATTATTCGAGCTTTCTGCCTCGTTTTTTTATAATTGTTGGCAATCGGCAGTCATAAAAATATAAGTCGCGAGCCTCGAATAATCATATCCCCTAATTGTTAATTTTTGTTTACAAGTTGAGGGAGAATTGAGGGGAAGTTATTATACTTAGTGGACGATGCGCTTTATAAGAGTTCTCTTGTCAAATGAAAAGTGAAATTTAATTGTGCCTTTTTACCGAGAATTTTACGTTTTCGGAGAATCGTTTGAGCAAACAAAAAATGAAACACGGTCGTTTAAAATCAATTAGATTTTTAGGTTAAAGTTTCACTTAGAATTTCTGCCTCTAATTTTCCTTCTTACTTAGAATTATTAGCATTTTTATACAATATATATATTTATAGAATATAGAAAATATTTATAAAATTATTATATATATATTATTATTATTATTATTATATAAATGAAATACAATCGCGTTAGAAATCACTTCGAATTTTTACCTTCTCAGAGAATCCTTTAACGAAAAGGGAAATTACACGAAACCGTGTAAAATCGCTTAAAACTTTCCTTTTCTTTTACGAAAAGAAAATGAAGCAACTCGACGACTAAAAAACTTGAACAAAAAGATTCATTAAATTTTCTTCGCATCGCGGTCCTTTTCGTCGCCCGTCTACGATCATATCTCGTCGATTGTTTTAACATTTGTTCCGCGACTTGACCTTGCAATTCCGCGGAAAAATAGCCGCGGGAAACTGGCTTAATGAACGGCCCGGTGGAAACGCGTTTCAATTTGCCGGGGGGCGCGGATCGGCCCCGGCCGGAGGTCCTACGCGAGACAGCAATTTTGCCCGTTAAATACTTTCATTAAACTTGGCGGAGTTTCTCATTTTCCCGACACCGTTATCGCCGCGGTGTCGGTCATTTCAATTTCGCCGAATGAACAACGCGCTCGCGCGCTGATCCGCGCCGCGCAATCTCGCGGCAACCGGCCAGCAATATTCATGCTTCATCGATACCCTAAGCCGATTCATTTTCGGAAGCGAATCACCGGATTCCCGCGCCTCGGTAACGTTTATAGAAATTTGCATTTTCCTGTTCGGGACGGTGAAATAATAAAATGTCGGTTGGAACAGGTCGGGCGTTGTTTTTCCGCCCGCCGATAAAACGTTTCCCGTAGAAACGAGATCGAAATCTATCGATTGCGGACTCAATATTTTGTTGAGTCTACTTATTTCCAGTTATTTGTTGTATATATAATATGGATAGAGTAATAAATATTATAATATATTATTATATATATTATATAGATAGAGTAAGAAATATTGTAATATATTATAATATATATTATATAGATCTGTCTCTTATACACATCTAGATGTGTATAAGAGACAGGATATATATTATATAAATAGAGTAATAAATATTATAATATAATATATTATGATATATATTATATCTGTCTCTTATACACATCTAGATGTGTATAAGAGACAGGATATATATTATATAAATAGAGTAATAAATATTATAATATAATATATTATGATATATATTATATCTGTCTCTTATACACATCTAGATGTGTATAAGAGACAGGATATATATTATATAAATAGAGTAATAAATATTATAATATAATATATTATGATATATATTATATCTGTCTCTTATACACATCTAGATGTGTATAAGAGACAGGATATATATTATATAAATAGAGTAATAAATATTATAATATAATATATTATGATATATATTATATCTGTCTCTTATACACATCTAGATGTGTATAAGAGACAGGATATATATTATATAAATAGAGTAATAAATATTATAATATAATATATTATGATATATATTATATCTGTCTCTTATACACATCTAGATGTGTATAAGAGACAGGATATATATTATATAAATAGAGTAATAAATATTATAATATAATATATTATGATATATATTATATCTGTCTCTTATACACATCTAGATGTGTATAAGAGACAGGATATATATTATATAAATAGAGTAATAAATATTATAATATAATATATTATGATATATATTATATCTGTCTCTTATACACATCTAGATGTGTATAAGAGACAGGATATATATTATATAAATAGAGTAATAAATATTATAATATAATATATTATGATATATATTATATCTGTCTCTTATACACATCTAGATGTGTATAAGAGACAGGATATATATTATATAAATAGAGTAATAAATATTATAATATAATATATTATGATATATATTATATCTGTCTCTTATACACATCTAGATGTGTATAAGAGACAGGATATATATTATATAAATAGAGTAATAAATATTATAATATAATATATTATGATATATATTATATCTGTCTCTTATACACATCTAGATGTGTATAAGAGACAGGATATATATTATATAAATAGAGTAATAAATATTATAATATAATATATTATGATATATATTATATCTGTCTCTTATACACATCTAGATGTGTATAAGAGACAGGATATATATTATATAAATAGAGTAATAAATATTATAATATAATATATTATGATATATATTATATCTGTCTCTTATACACATCTAGATGTGTATAAGAGACAGGATATATATTATATAAATAGAGTAATAAATATTATAATATAATATATTATGATATATATTATATAGATAGAGTAATAAATATTATAATATATTATAATATATATTATATAATACGTTATATTATATTAATAATTTACATATATTTTTATATATTTATTATATTAATATATTATATTATATAGTATACATAATATGCACATATATTTATTCTACTTGTTTCTATCACATTAACTCTACTTGATCCACTAATTTCAAGTAAAAATTGAGAAGCAAAAAATTAACGACACCGCCGTAATTATTTCTGACTCGTTTAAAAATCACCGAACCGGAAAAATAAACGCGTGCATAACTTCTCCGTGCTTTCGAATTAACAGCTTTTTATTTTCCCGGGAAAATCAGCTGTGCGGCGAATGCGCGAACAAATAAGCTTCGCGTTGAATTACACGCAGCTTCGCGTTTCGTTACAAAAGGCTTCGGTACATCGAGAACAGTCTGGAACAGCATCGAATTCAATCGGATCTTTGTGTTCACTGATTTCTCGATATTTCAGCAGATTATAAAAAAAATGCGAACGTTATCGCGTTGTCGGCGGGCGCGGAAGGACAATCTCCGGTTGGCGGCGGGAACGCGTTAATTGGCGGACACGCGTTGCTCGCGCGAATTCCGACGGCCGTTTCAATAAATCTGGAAGTCCATTTCTAGCCCATGTTTTCATGCATGAAGTCGGACAGGACTTCCTCCGGGCGGTTTCAAAGTGCCGGTTATATTAGCGCTTGATTCTCGTGTAACAGATGTTGAAGCTACGCGCGGCCGTAAACTTCTCCAATTGGCCGGATCGAGGAGATCTTCGCTCGAGCAGCAGAAGTTTTCTTTGCGAAGTCGCTGATACGTTATGCAAAACTCGGAAACGACGGAGCTCTCGGCGGAACCGAAGTCAAATTTTATTATCTTCAATTTCCGTTCGCGCACGAATTAAAATCGAGACCGCGCGATTCTGCGTGAATTCTGCGACCGCTGATACCTTTTTTCTAAAAAAAGAACATATAATAAGTCGGCAGGGCTCTCTCGCGCGAGCCGAACAGAATTAGTTTTAAAAATGCAGCGTCTCGCGTCGCGGCGCGTTTCGAAAATCTAATATGAAAGATTGCGGCAGTCGGGAGAGAGCTCGTTGACTCGCGTGCAACAATTTAATAACAGCGCGCGGGAATAGCGCAGCTGATAAAAACGCACGAAAAATTCCGTGCCGGTTTCCGCGGGAAAAAAAAACTCTTCCGACGCGCCGCGGCGGAACTATTTCTCTTTCAATCTGCTTGCAAACCCCCGTCGGTCCTCGGAACGTTTCACGGGGCGCGCTGCAATTTTTCGCCGAGAAAATGCATCTTGGTCTGCTCGAATCTTCGCTACCGTGCGCCGCGTTCCAAGGACTGCGATGCGCTTTGAACGGAGATCGAAAGCGCCGCGGTTTCCGCTCGAGCAAAGACGATGCATTAGGCGCGCGCGTGAATTAATTCGGCTTCTGCTTAACGTTATAAATTCAGACGCTCTTCGCGGAAGGACCTGGAAGAAGGTTTCGACGCGTGTGGCGAGCCTAAGAGATCAGCATGAATTTACGAAAGTGGATCGGAACATTTCGAGCGCATTTTCTGGAAAATCTTTCGATCGACGCTCTTGATTTTTTTTTACACAGCAGTGCAATGGAAAGAACCGTTCTTAGATCTCGAGATTCTGGCGAATGCGTTGCGGATTTTTATGCAAAATAGAAATTGTTATGAACATTCGTTTCTTCTTTAAATCATTTTTAGGAGCTCGGAATTATTTGACTGTGTTTCGACTGTTTTGTACATCATCTATTCATTTTCA